CACACACACACACACACACACACACACACACACACACACACACACACACACACACACATCATGTTATATCTCTGGCATAACCTGTTTAGAAAGCAAAGGGCTACTGACTGCTGAGATGTATGGAATCCAATGCACAAGGAAAATTGTGTGTCCATTTTGTAGATTTCATGGGCAAATAATAACAGAGGTTCTTCATTTTGTAAGGATGCTGATTCATGCTAAATGATATTTATGGAGGGATTATCATACACTTTTTAGAATGTATTTGTGGAGGGAAAAATCCTCTGTTGAACAAAATCATCTCTGTGTGACAGAAGACTATGGTTTTATACATGCTGCATATTAATACAAATGATCTTCATTGTCCATGATCTTTTACTCAATTTTGTGCACTGCAGTTGATAGATATAGATCGGGCCTCTTTATCTATGGTAAATGTTTCACATGTCCATGTTATTGGGTGTTTGGGTTTTGATCCATCCATCTTTTATTATTTAAGTGATTATCTCCTTTCAATTAATAATTTCTGATCTTCTTTCCTGGAAATGACTAACATCACATTTAGCTGGCTGGTCTGTCCAGCAGTCCCTTTGCATTATGGTATCCTTCCCTTTGCTTAAATAAGAACACTTACCACAATCAGAAACACAGATATCTCTGTGGGTACTGAAGAGTTTGGTTCCATTTTTACAGAAGCAACCTTCTGTTATTCCAGTCTGTGGAGGGCCACTTCAACAAAAAAGAAGCACAAATTAGAGTAGTAGTTGCACCCCAACATTACAAACAACCACACAGTGTGTGCAACTGATAAGAACAAAGGAAGGAATGAGCTATATAAGGTCAACCCAACTATTTTTGAAATGGCTCAAGTTGATGTAACTGCTACTAATCATCAACCTTTTATCTTCCCTGTGAGAGAATTAGTCATGATAAAAGAGGAGTTTCAAGTCAATGAGGCTCAAACCCATGGCAGTAGACTAATTTTTAACACAGGTTAAAATTATTGATTTATGAAACCATGACTGAAATAAATCCATAGAATTTTTCTTGCATCTATAGAAGAATACATTTTTCCTGATAAAGTGGAAAGAAGAATGCTTATTCTCTGCCTATGTTCTTATAATGTAGTCTAGAGGATTCCCCATCTCTTTAGAACACATATAATTTGGGAATACATATAATTTTGCAGACGAAGGGAAAAATTTTCAACATATTATAACAATAGCATCATAGATCATAAAGTGAGAAGAGGCTGAATCAAATTCCCTGCTCTGTGCAGAACTCTAATTAAAACACACCCAGCAAAAGGCTCTCTGAGATCTATATTTAACAGATAATCAGAGTTGGAAGGGACCTTATAGGTCATCTAGTCCAACCCCTTGCCCAAGCGGGAGACCCTACACCATTTCTGACAAATGGCAGTCCAATCTCTTCTTGAAAGTCTCCAATTTTATATCATCTGCAAATCCTATAACAATGTCATCTTCAGCTAAATCATTAATTGAAACTTTGAAATATACTGGCATCCTGCTTGATACCTTCTATTTTGATGAAAAACTACTGATGTGCAGTGATAGAAAGCAAGTGCAGTGCAGTGATAAAAAGTGCAGTGATAGAAAGCAAATTTTGGTTCCAGCTAATGACATGATATCTTGCCCATATTTAAGTAGTTGGCTAATCAGAATATCAGATTTTGCTTTGTCAAATGATATGCTGAAATAAAGGGATGTGGTGGCTCAGTGGCTAAGATGCTGAGTTTGTCGATCAGAAAGATCGGCAGTTTGGCGGTTTGAATTCCTAGCACCGTGTAACAGAGTAAGCTCCCATTACTTGTCCCAGCTTCTGCCAACCTAGCATTCGAAAGCATGTAAAAAATGCAAGTAGAAAAATTGGGACCACTTTGGTGGGAAGATAACAGCATTCCATGCACCTTCGGCATTTAGTCATGCCGGCCACATGACCATGGAGACATCTTCGGACAGCGCTGGCTCTTCAGCTTTGTAATGGAGATGAACACTGCCCCCCTAGAGCCAGAAACAACTAGCACATATGTGTGAGGGGAACCTTTACCTTTAGTTTTATGCTAAAATAAAGAGTCCCGCACCGAACAACAGAAGTTACTCAATGGTATACATTTTGAGCATACTCAAAATGATCTAATCTGGCAAGATTTACTCTTGACCAAATTCATGCTAACTTCTAGTAATGATGGGTTTGCTTTCAAGGTTTTTGACCATTTTGTGATCTGCCTCCAGAATGTTCCAGAACGTTCCAGTATCATTTTCAGACTGAGTAATCTGCAGTTTTCCTGCTCCCTTTCTAAAGATAACTTTTGTTCCCCCTCTCCTCCACCACCCATGGTAATCTGATACTTCATGTGGTCTTCAGGATTTCTCACAAATAATTAGACATTCAAAACAACAGTAATTTCTACTGTTTAATCATTCTACTCTGAAATTTGTAGGTGTATAATATCAGGAAGTAGTTCCTTTCTATTATGCTTGATCTGAAATATAGTTAATTCAGGCACTCTTTGCAATTGCCTAAATCCGAGTACAAATAATTCCTTATTTATTTTTCTTTCTATTGCCTTTTCTTAGCATTTTGGTGTTTTTTTTTCATTTTCACTGAAGAGCTGATTCTTTACTCTTCCTTTTGAATGTGATAAAAATTTATTCCACTTATGAAGTTTAAATGCATACTTAACATATTGTTCATTTCATCAAGACAATTATAAACTTTCACAGCTCTTTTGAGTTTTACTTACCTGTTATCACAGGTGGGAGGATTGATGGGGCCACATGGAACATATACTTTATCTGTAGGGCAGCTAAAGGCTATAAATGATATAAGAAAAAGGTTCATCATAATATAGAAATGTATTTTCCATACATTTTGCATTTGGAAAAAAGTTTCAGTTCAACCTATTCAGTTCAACATTTATACTGCAATAAACTGCCTAGAGTAGAGTCATTGAGATGAGATGGATATTAATTAATTATAATTAATGAAAATAGCATTGTATGATTATAAAATTATAAAAATGATTACTTGAATTAAATAAACAGAAATAAACAATAATTCTAGCCAAATGCATCTGTTATTTTTCACATAATTTTGGTTTTGTTCACACACACACAAACATAAATACTAACTTTTTATATAAATGTGCCTGAAGCTAGACATATTTATTTCATATCTGTTTTTAATGAAATACATTGTCTATCTGGGAGAATGGTGGTTGAATATTTTTGTGTTTATTAAGAAAATGTTTAATTGGTAAATAAATCAAAACTTCTCTCTAGTATCCTTCTTTCTCTCAGTATCACTCTTTTGAGTGCCACACCAAATTCTCACTGAAGGTATATTTAAAAAGCTCAAAATAAGGAAGTAAGGAAGGAGTGATCGTATAATAAGCAAACACAATAAGATGCCTTGATATCCCAAAACTTACAACATTCATCATTGGTCTTCCCTCGCCAATCGATACAAACACCTTTAGAGGCACAGAGAGAAGCATATATCTCCAATCCTGAACATTGCATGGAGATATTTTTCATATGGCAAGCATCAGAGAGGCAGCCTTGAAAGTAGGGATCTGGGGGTATGATCTTATGGCACTCAGAGAAGATGCTGCAAACATACAAGAAATAGTTGTAAAATAAATATCTCTGAATAAGTACACATTGATTTAGTCATTTAATTGAAACTTATTTTAAATCATGGATTTATTCTAAATGAAAAATGAAAGGGAATGATTAAAAAAGAAAGTCAGAACATGGAATTTCTGGTGCCAAAAAACCTTCCACAAGGGAACATCGACTATGAGGTTTTCCAGGTATAAAATCTTTCCAAAATCTATCTATTATAAAAGGACAGTTTTCTGGAGTTCTGTGAACTTTCAGTGATTCTATAAATGTACATTAAACTAACAGAATGCAAAGGACACTTTTACTACCCTTTTGGTTACAACTGGTATGACATTTTTGAGCACACTTTTTAATCAGGAACTGTGGAGGTTTTATAATTGTGGGAGATATACAATTTGAGAAGGATTGTCTTTTTGTACATTATTTATCACTGGAGGCATTCAATGTAAAGAGAGGCAGCAAGGAAGCTGCCCCTCATTCTCTGTGTTGCTGGTTTGAATTTCCTAACTGGAAGATGTATACTCTTAGAAGTGCCATTCAGCCCATTTCCTGCTTATCCCTATTATAACTTCCTCCTCCTCTGCTCCCATCTTCATCTCAAACTGACAGGAAACAAAACCGCGTCGTCTTTTCTTATTAACATATTGTCATAAACGGTTTATATGTTCTTTTGGATTTTGAACATCTTTTTCCAGATCCTTGTAATGGACTTGGTTGCACTAACAGTTGCATCCAAATTGGATCCTGGTGAATGACTTGAGGGATTCTAGCTAAAGTTATCTAAAAATAACCCCTACAATATCCTTAGAAAAAAGATTTTTCTGGTTAGATATCAGGCTGGGTTATCCTCTATTCTAGTTTTCTGCTTGTGGGTTTAGTAAATGGATATAAAGTGGCATAGCTGGATAAGTTATGCCTGCATTTCCATGCCAACCTTGCTAAATGAATGTGAGAATGTTTAGAATGTGACCCAAACTGTCCATTATAGAACTCTGCTCTTGTGAAATCTAATCTTATCCATGCTTGTTCACCAAACAGTTTGTATAGACTAGCAGCTATATATTCTATTGTAGCCTTTCTCAAATCTTCTATCCTGGATGAATTCTTGAAATAATTTTCAGGTCTCAAGGACACTCTGCATAAAATTATATCTAAAGCTAGCTTTGTATGTACACACACACACACACACACACACACGCACACACACGCGTGCGCGCGCGCGCACACACACACACGTACACACAAACAGTAGAATTTCTCTCATGTAACTCCAGTTGAGAAAGGCCACTCCATTGTATGGCCCATCAAACAAGACTTATTATTGCAGAGATCTAAATTTGGGTAGAATTTTCTATTGTATCATATTCAAATTTGTAGACTAAGATAATGCATTTACTTGAGAGAGAAACAGAGGGATGGGGAGAGAGAGAATTTTCTTTTTATCAGAGGATATTGGTCAGAATCCATAAACAGGATTCTTTGAGTGAAAAAGTTTCTGCTTAGGATCAGGATTTGTCTCTGCTATTGGAGCTTCCAACAAGCCTTCAAAATCTACTGGAAGATTCCTAAATCTTTGTAGCAGATTTGAAGATGTGCAAAGGACTTCATAGATAAGAAGGATAATGGAATTCATATTACTTGGCAAATACAAAAACAAAAAAACCTCATTTAATCCACCAATATGGTTATACTAGACAACCTATATCCTGTTTGGTCATAGTCTCAGAAATACTTCCTTACCTAAACAGAGAAACAAATGACCAACAGTGGGCATAAAATGTAGGTGTGAAATGGGGCAACTTCCGAATTCCCACCAGTTTTATAATTGAGTTTCCTTGTGGGAATGTGGCAGGGAACATTGGAAATGTCCCCTCCCCTCCCAATGGCAACTGTGGAGTGGGGGAGGGAAAGAAAGAGGGATTGCAGAACTGGCTGGGAAACTGCCATAGAATGTTGAAAATGAAGATCATGTGACTGCAGCAGCAGCCCAGCAGCATTGAAGCAGCCACATTTTTCACAATTTCATTCTCTCGGGAGTCATGAGTCCAGGAATATGTATGCCTTCTCTAAGTTACCATATTTGAGGTATCTTGGTTTTAAAACTGTTGTTCTGTTAGGTTAAAGATAATGAAACAAGAGTTTTAGTAGTATCTATATTCACTGGATGGCAAAAATAAATATAAAATAATTCCTATCTTACTCATTCAAAATAAGAGAACAGAGAGGAGCTGTGCTACATATTTCAGGTGCAGGTGTTATAATTTCAGTTGGTACAGGTGGTGTTGTTCCAGAGCAGTAATCCTTTTTAGGATCAGGCACTTTCCAATGGGGAGCCATGTGGGGGCAATCTGTTACTTCGCCATTTGGTAAGCGACATTCATCTTTTATATTGTTAGTGCAAGTACCTGGGGGAAATAACATGAAAACATATGTAGAGGACAAAACATTTGTGATCTCAGGTCAATTAAGCAGATAACACATATTGCAAGTATGGAAGAAGTGGAAGTATCAGAATGGCCACATAGTTTAGTGACTCAGGCAGCAGAAGATGTGGAGAAAGATCAAGCAGAGGAAGTGCCATGGCAAGCAACACCCTGCATGGACTGTACCATCAACAGATAGCTGAAGTGGCAAACATTTGGAAATCCAACCAGTTGTGGAAAGAGCTAAATTAAAAGACAGCACTGTGGTAGTTATCATAGCAGCACAAGAACAAGCACTAAGCACCAGATATCTATGAAGATTCTCAGTCATCCAGGTCATGATTGTCCCAAAGGTGCTTTTTCAAGAGGCAACTGGACTTTCTGTTTTTTTTTTCTTTAAGTCATTTAACTTCTCATCCAAGAAGCCTCTTGAGCTGAAGATCATTTGTCTCTTAAAAAGCACATTTGGGACAAGCATCAGATACATAGAAGCAGGGGTTTACCCCACTAGGCAGGACCTGAAGTACAAGCTATGCAGAGAGGCTTCAGTCCAACTCACAGGAGCAGGGTGCAAGATGCAGGAACAGCATAACTAAATGGCACAAACAAGTAGTTGGCACTGTGTACAGGATCATCTGCTTAGTGTATAGGCTAGACACTCTCAGATTCAGATGGGAGATTCCACAAAAGGCTAAGGAGAATAGCAGCGTTCTGTTATTAGATCTTATATACATAAGATCCTTTGGGACTTTCAGATCCAGACAAGAGGACTGGCCAATTAATCAGACATCATAGTAGTAGGCCAAAAGACAATGTTGATAATAGATGTAGTGGTGCCAAGCGACAACAATATCAGGAAGGAGTATGAGAACTTGGAGAAGTATCAGCTCCTGAAGGAGGAACTAAAGAGGATGAGAAAAGGAAAGGCTAAAGTGGTCTCAGTAGTGGTTGGAGGAGCACTTGGGGCTGTGACTCCTAAGCTTGGAGAGTGGCTCCAACAGATCCCAGGAATGACATCAGAACTCTTTGTTCAGAAGAGGGTGGTGCTAAGAACAGCTAAGATACTGTGCAGTACCTTCAAACTCCCAGGCCTCTAGTAGAGGACCTAATATTGAGGAAGGCACATATCATCCATACAGGTGAGCGGGGTTACATTTTTTTAACCCCATCTATACCTTGGGTAAAGCAGATAACATGAATCCAATCTTTTTTTTCCCCAGTTCTTATTCAGTTTCACAATGCTGTTGGAATACTCTTTGGCTTGAGTTTCCCTTTTTCAATAAACAGCATGCACTTTCTTCTGCCAACAGACCACAATTAAAAAAAATGATGGTACCAAAACTTTGAAACACAGTACACTTAGAAGAAAGAGGAAGATGTTCTGCAGTTGTTTTCAAGAGGTGTCATAAATGCAGGAGAAAGATTTTCAAGAGAAAATAGGAAGAAAACTTGCATGCTTTATCACGTGTTAGAGAAGAAGGCGGTTTTTTTCTAGTTAACTATGACACCCTGTAGAACTCCTTCCAAAGCTTCTAGATTATTTTACTGAATACTCCTGGGGGAAAATATCATTTCTTTGGTGACAAATGATATAGTTTTCCATTTTTATTTACATTCAGTAATTAGAAGTTCTAATATCGAGGCTGAATGAAGAATAAGTGACATTTTGGCAGAGTCAAGAGTTTACTAGAGAAACAAGCATTTTTCTAAGAGCAAATATATAATGTGTTGTTTCAACTATTTTAAATGAATAAGAGTTTGCAAATATTTCATGGAATAACAAAAGTTTCGATGGGCTTAAACCATTTTACTTACCACATTGTCCTTCAGTATTGTTGTAAAACTTGCTGAATGGAAGCTTTACTGAGAAGATTGTACCACCATAGGTGACAACAGTTTCAATTTCGGAAATTTCAACCACCATATTAATACCAATTGTGTAGATATAAATGCCATCTTTCTGGAAACTTGTCGTTATGAGTTTTCCATTGAAAGAGATCTGCATAGAAGAATAATTTTGTATCAGGATTGTTTTTGATTACCCATACTTTTAAAAAATAATGCATCCACATGTTAAAAATAATTATCTACACATTTTGGCTAGATTTGCTTAGTCCAATTATTAATTAAGAAATATGTATTTTATTTTTTTAGCAAAATAAAATTATTTGACCTTAGTGTGCATGTAACCTTGGAAAATCTTAGGGAGATTGGTTCTCTCTTCTGAGATGGCTTTCCAAGGATATAAGACATACATCTGCTAGGAAAGGCCACATGGATTTAGTCACGCTTATGACTTTTACTAAGAGGTGCTTCAGGTAGTCACTAAACAGATCCTCTTTTTTTTCCCAGGGATCACGGTGAACCTGCACCTGCTTTAAGTCCCTGATTTGCCGGAATTATTTATATCTTTACATCTCTAAGCAAACCAAACCAAGTAAGTAGTACATAATTGTCAAATGTTTATAATATATCATAATTATTATGTATAAGAATGTTTTATGCTCTTTTATGCAAAACTAACTTTACATATTTCTTAATAAAACCAATAATTAGGCATTCAATTTAAGAAATATCAATTCTTCCTTTTACCTCCATGCTGTGTTTTTGAGATTGTTATTTAGACTTAAGATGAATCCATCTGTGCATGTTTATAATTTGGTGTGTCTCAGGCATTACATAAAGTCTGAAATGCTGGACTGCCTCCTTTTCGTCCTGCTCCTCCTCCTGCTCCTGCTCCTCCTGCTCCTCCTCCTCCTCCTTTTACTACTTCTACTACTACTACTATCACCATCACCACTACTACTATTATATCTTCTTTCATGATTCATAAAAGTAACCATATTAGATTTTTCAGTATTCTTTACTGTTCTATCAATTAATTTCAATTTATAGTGATCTCCACTATAGATGAAAAGTAGCTTTTCTACTACTCCTCTTTCTTACCTTGTTAATTTCTATCCCATTAAATTGTTGGCGAGTTAACACAATGACTGAAGATTTGTAGTGTATAATAATAGACTGGGGACAGGAAAGTTGATCTTCTGTGTCACAGTAGTAATTACCAAGAAGGATTTTAAAGTTATTATATTTTGGTATAATTTGCTGCACCAATACATAAGTGCAATGGTCCAAGAAAGTGTAGTAGACTCCATCAAATGTGATAAAGTGGGGATCACCCCAGCCACTACAAATACCTGATAAATAAGAGAGAGAAAACAGGTGACAATTAGGACTTTAAAAAAATACTGTACCTAGAAATTAATATCAATGAAATTATTCATATATTATCAAAAGCTGATCAAACTACATTATTACCACAACTTACATTCACATTCATAGTGATAGCAACATCCATCCTTTGAGAAAACTTTTACTGGTGGGTAGCCATTTTCACAAACAATAGTTTGTACCGGTGGACACTCCACTTTAGTTATCATAATGCTGTTGTTTTTTATACAAGTTGCTTTGGTGCAATTTTCTATCCATGTCTCACCCACCTGGGAATAGAAAAAAAAGAGTTTACAGTTTGACTTAACAAAGCTCTGTGTGTGTATTTATATATTGCATAGTTAAATTATGTTTCATGAGTAATAAGGAGGGAAGAGAACATTTTTTGCTGTGTCTAACTCAGATTTGATTTTTGGTCCCTATATTTTATAACTTAATTCGGAAAAATCTTAATGTCACAATCCTTCCTTTCCTTTCTTTAAACAAGCTTGTTAGAAAGGAGACACTTCTTGGAAAATATTTGCCCATCTGATGACATTCTGTTGAAGTGACTATCAGATACAGATAACTTGACATGATGTAAGAGATTTATTTATAATATCCCACTGCCCATTAAACTTCAATTCTGCATCAATTCAAAGCATTATTTCAGCTCTCTGAGTTGCATAACCTTTCTGTTCTTAAGTGGAGTGTCTGGAATTTGACAGTTGTGAAGTTTTACCTCGGCATCCAAAGTTCAGATCTTTTAAAACATTCCTATCTCCTGATCAGGTTGATAAACATGAAGTAGGAACCAAACTCATTGGGCAAAGTAAACCCCCAAAGAGGACAAACCTGGTTTTAAAATGATCCCATACCAAAAGGAAGGGTAGAGAGGAGGGAAAAAAATAGATAAAAAATCCCAGATGATGCCCATCTACCCTACTTTGTCAATGTTTTAGCTAAAGTCAGTCCTGGAGAGATCTTTTCCCCCAAATAAGCATAAATTCTCTGCACCCCATCACCATCACCCCAGAAAAGGGGGAGCTAGTGCCAGGATTTGTTTTTTAATGAAGTAATAAATGCTAATTAAAAGTTATTGTCATTCACAATCTCCCAGTTTCTAGCTTGGTGCCTGTAAACACTACATCAAAATAGTTTTAAAAATAAGATATATAATATAAAAATTGAGATATCACTTCCTTTCTGTTCAGAAATTGTAATTTGAATCAGTTCATGTTTGTTTCACATAATTCCTCATAATGTCTTGTCTTTATAGCACTCTGGGACTGAGGGCTGGAGATGTATGAAGATGTATGTATGGAATTCCAGATCAGGTTAGTGTCATGTGCGAGATAAAACTCCAATAATCACATTTGGAATGGAGAAAGGTTAACTTCTCCTTCCCTGTCCAAAAACATCTAACATACCTCTGGAAATCACATTACACTGAAAACATGATTATTAAAGATTACAAAAAAATAAAGTAAACACTACCTCCCGGGGTGGAATAGCATCAGGACAGCCTGGTGGTAGAGTAGTACCAGCAGTACTGGTAGTAGGAGTGGTGGAGATGATTGTGGGAGTTGAGGTGGGTTTGGGTGTAGTTGATACACATGGCCCTTTGTATCTTTCAACGGAACATGTGCTACCACAAATAGCGAAATAAAGGCAGCCATCACTGTCAGTTTGCTTATAAATAATTTCACCTGGAGGGGGGAAAACAACAACATTACAGTAGTATTTGAGAAATCTATCAAGTAACAAACACAATGATACAGAAAAGTCTGCCACACCAATCAGAAAGGAGAAATGCAGAATGGGTATGTTGCAGATCCTGCAAGCCAAAGAATACTGGCTGGTGAAGGCTCAAAAAATTAGCTTCTTCCAAGTGATCCCTGATCTACTGTACCGAACATTTTCCAGTGATCTCTACTCAACTGTATGGAAAATTTTCCCTCCATATTTTGAAATGGGCCCAACTCTGTTAGCCTTTTGCAAGACCCTAAAAACACATCTTTTTTCCAGCACCTGACGGCTAAATGTGTCAAGGTCCAAGTTTCCTCACTGCATTTATAACAGAACGTTCAACTGCTACTATGTGTATTTAATTTGGATACTATCATTATTCTATTAAATTGTTTTTCGTATGTTTACTCTAATAACATTTTTGAATTGTAAGGCACCTAGACCAACTGTCATAGATGGCTATAAAATTGAATAATTAAATAAATACATAAAATTCAAAAATTTGTTGGCAAAAACATAACAGTTACTGCAATAAACACTTACCAGGCATATAAATATTTTCCCCAATTTGGCAAAAGCAATGACTTGTGCTGCTTCCCATAGTGGTGGTTGAAGATGCAATACTTGAAGTGGATTGAGGTACAGTCGTGGTTATCACTTCAGGTGTCGTTGTTACAGTGGGCCTTGTGGTTGAAACTGGGTGAGTTGAGCTAGAAGT